GTGCATTTTTGTTTCATTCCTCCTCTGCTGCTCCGTGACTGAGGTTAACTCTTCCGTGAAACTTTTATCCCTCCCTGGTTCAAGGGGTTTTTAAAGCTACTGCTCTGCCTGCAGTACAGCTACGTGCTGCACTATCCACCAAATCATTGAGTAATTTATTTTTAAAATACACTTTAATGGGGATAATTATTTCTAGCAGTAAATTTTAAATTATATTTTTAAGGGAGAAAGAGCAATTAAGGTTCTTCTTCAAGTAGATGCAGCCATATATTCCACTTAGGTATGTGTGTGCCCAGCACTCTGGAGCCAAAGTACCTTGCCTCCTACAGGTTCTGCTTGGCAACACTTGCACCTTGTGGCCAGAGCTTATACTCTGGATATAGCTTATACTCTGGTGCTGTCCTATTCCCACTTGATTCTGTCTTACCACCTCTGGCTGGAGACAAGAGTTCTGTGTGGTTTTCTATCCTAAGACTTTTATTTGTACTAACATTTCTAGTTGTATATTGTTAATTAGTACCTTATGTACAGAGTTAGCTATAGTTTCAAGTATTTCCCTCGTGATGCCCTCAGTGGGGTTTAAACATTGTCTGTCATGTGGGTCGTTGCACTCCTCAGCAACGATCTCCATCTGCAGTGCTTGCTGGTGTTCAATTTTCAGATCATTCACCAAATGGATTAAAGTGGCAAGGGATCTTCATTTGAAGCAGCATCTGCTCAAACAAGTTATGAGGCCTCCTTCGGCACCAAGGCCCTCATCAGTTCAGAAGTCGCCCTCAGGTTCTGAGAGCACTGCAGCTTTGTGTCCTGGAGTGGGCACCTCTCTGAAGATGGTGAAGTTGTTCTCCATGGAGTGTGCCATAATAAAGTTCACCTAAGACTGACCAAGCCTGCTCCAGATCCTAGGGAGCATCTGCTCAAACAAGTTATGAGGCCTCCTTCGGCACCAAGGCCCTCATCAGTTCAGAAGTCGCCCTCAGGTTCTGAGAGCACTGCAGCTTTGTGTCCTGGAGTGGGCACCTCTCTGAAGATGGTGAAGTTGTTCTCCATGGAGTGTGCCATAATAAAGTTCACCTAAGACTGACCAAGCCTGCTCCAGATCCTAGGGAGGGCATGCCAGTGTATGAAATGGAGCAAGGCCTCCAGAGTTGTTCCATCCAGGACAGTCAGTTCTGGTGCTGTATCCAGCTCTGGCAGAGTTAATCACTCCATCTTTGTCCTCAGATGATGTCATGGTTTTGTGGCCTGTGGCTGCTTCTCAAGCTATCGTAGTGGAGTTCCTGCAGAACACCCATGAGTTAGTGTCTATCCCATAGTCATCTGCCCCTCAGAGAGCCACCCTCCCCATTAACAATGAGCCTGCTGGCTTCAATAACACTTGCAGGGTGAGACCCAGTTTTGACCTTTGCGGCCTGAACAAATATATCAGCTACATGAGATTCCAAATATCACTCTATCAATATCCTCCCCGTGTTGTCTCAGAATGACTGGTTTGCCACACTGGATCTTTAGGACACCTAATTTTATGTGGCAGTTTTTCCAGGCCCAGGAAAATTCCTTTGATACATCATAGTGGAGAGCCATTTCCAATATATGGTCTTCCAGTCATCCTCTTGTCTACCCTTTTGGTATTTACGAAATTCCTGGTTGTTGTGATTGTGTTTTTCAGGCAGAAAGGAATCCACATCTTCCCAGATCTGGGCAACTGGTTACAGAATGGAAGGTACAGAGAGGACTGTCTTGCTCACATTGACAACACTGAACTTGCTTGACCACCTGGGTCTCATCCTAAACACTGGAAAGTTAACTCTGATTCCCACTCACAAAATTGAATCTATTGGGGCCCCCTCTACATGTTCAAGAGCATTTCTGCTGACCTACTGTTTTCAGGTGATTTGGCACTTTTGCCTCAATCTACAAACTCAGCCTTCCACAAGTTTGGATGTGGCTGAGGCTCTGAGGCCACATGTCCACTGTCCAGCTCTTCACCCATTAAACAGATAGTCTGTCTTCTTCAACTGGTCTTGAGATCCTTGCAGTGGTAGATACCCCCAGAGAATGTTTGCCAGGGCAATCCACAATGCACGTCACTTTTCTGGACTCTATCAGATACTTAGTGGTTCACATATTACTGACAATACCACCACGATGTATTATGTGAACGAGCAAGGAGGAACACACTTCAGGATGCTCTGCCAAGAGACAGCCAGGTTGTGGCAGCTCTGCATTGAGGAGAGCATTACACAGAAACATCGTCCAGGACACTTTCATATCTTTGGGCATTCTGACAATCTACCTATTTGCTTCAGAGGACAACAGGAAATGTCCCCTATTATTCTCATAAAGGAGTCTCAGTCCGAGCTCCGTTTCAGACACTTTCCATCTCAGCGGGCAATCAGATCCCCTGTAAATCTGAAAATCTGCTTTTCCCCTAACACCAGTCATGCCGCCAGCCATCCTCATTCTAAAAGCGGATATAGCCAAACTCATTCTGATTGTCTCAGCATGGCTGAGATAGTGCTGGAGTTCCAATTTTCTTGTGCTGTCAGTTCAGCCTCCATTACCCCTTCCTCTCCACACTGACCAACTGACTTAAAGTCACGGTCACATGTTGCATCCCACGTTCAGTTCCCTGCATGCCCTGGAGTGGCTGCTTCCTGGCTAAATGGGGAGGAATAGCAGTGTTTGGTGGCTATACCAAAGATCCTGCTCAGCAGTGGAGAGTGGTTTCCAGAATAGCCTTATGCAGTGAAATGGAAGCAGACTGTGGTTTGATCATTGGCCTGCGGAATTCAACCAGTGTGGAACTTTATCCAGTGTTGGACTTGGTAGTACTTGCTGTACCTGCAGTCACTGGTCAGTTCGTTGGAAGTGCATTTGGCAGAGATATTGGCATTTCATCCCCCATTCAGGGACGGTCAGCCTCCGTTTGAGCTCTTGGTATCTTGTTCATTTCTGCTGTTGTCAGAAAACTGTGTTTCTAATAGTAATAACATCCAAAAGGAGAGTCTGGGAGTTGCTGGCTCTGGTGGCAGATTCCCCTTGTACACAATTCTCTAAAGACTAAGGGTACGTCTAGACTACATGCCTCTGTCACCAGAGGCATGTCGATTAGGCTACCAGACATAGGAAAATGAAGCGGCGATTTAAATAATCGCCGCTTCATTTAAATTTACATGGCTGCCGCGCTGAGCCGACAAACAAATAGTCTGGACGCGCGGGTGGCGACATCAAAGGTATTTGTCAACCACCCAGGTATGCCTCCTGGCGACAGAGGCATGTAGTCTAGACGTACCCTAAGTATCTGTACTGCTGCGCCCCCATTTTTGTCTAAAGTGTTTTCTTAGTTTCATTTGAAACGGGGTATATTTACCTGTGTTCTTTCCTAAGCAGCGTTCATTTGAAGAGGATATATGAAATGTCAGTTGATATCTAGACATCTATCTGAACAGGCCTAAACTGTTTCATGCTTCACCTTACCTGTTTGTGTCTCGTGCAGTTAGTGTGAAGGGTCAAGCAGTCTCTTCACAGACTCTCTAAATGGATAACATCCTGGTTCAAGACTGCCTATGAGATAACTTCAGCTATGCTTCCTCACCAGGGCAAGCTCATTCTAATGGTGCGCAAGCAGCTCAGTAACATTTCAGTATTGGACACTTGAAGGGCTGCTCCATGGTCATCCACACACACATTTGCCAGCCATTATACCAATGCTGCATCTTGCAGAGCAGCTGCAAGTTTTGATAGGGCAGTATTGCAACTCTTGCAAATGCAGACTCTGAGCCCTTCCTCCTCGGGTGGGTACTGCTTGTGAGTTACCTAAGTGGAATACATGGCTACATCTATTTGAAGAAGAAGAAGAAGAAGAAACAGCTACTTATTGTAACTGTGGTTCTTTGAGATGCAATGCCAACAGGCTCGTATGCAGGAGGTGTGAAGGGTTCAAAGGCACCTTCCTATAATCCCCAATGGTCTCGATTCCAGCCGGGCAGGGAAGTCTGGGGCTGATTTGCATTGTATTCTTATAAATTAATCTTTTATTATTAAACAGAACTAGACTTCCACTTTTACTTTTGCCAGATAGCACTTTTCACCTCCTACCCAAACCATTTGATCTAAATTGGTAAACAGAGCTTTCCCATTCTCCAGGCAAGCAGTTGAGCCAGTTCTGCTACTACTGTTTGGCTAACTGGCGCGATTCACACATGTGATTGTATACCTCAGATCTTCAGTTCAGACACTGCAAGAAGATACTCCATCCACCCTCACTCTGTGTATTGAAATTGAAACCTCTTACTCTGTCCAGCGTAACGTTTAACTAGCATGATCAGGGAACTGATGTTGTTAGTGTATTGTACTGCTGTACTAGCTTTATATAAAGTCAAAAGGGAAGTGGAAGTGGCAACTTTTAAAGTTAGCTTTATTGTATTATCTGTATTTGCAATCTACTTTTTAGTGTCTCTTTATGGTAAAAGCCATTAAAATGAATTAAGAGTAACACAACAGTCAGGATGTTAAGGCAGAATGTATTATGGATCTTTCAAGCTCTTTCATGTATTCATAGTATGAGTTTTATTGTGAGATTATTAAAATGGGTTCTTTTGGTCAGTTTCATATCCAAAGTAACTCCTTTAAAGTAAATGGAGTTAAGAGTGAATTTGGCCCTTTAATTATAATTAAGATACCATTATTACCTTCCCACTTTACAATAAAAAATGTGGCTTTGGGGTTCCTTTCTATGAAGGAAGTGTGTTTAGTGCACCTGAATAACCAAAATTACCACTTCAGGATCATAACAGGAAAATTATATTTTCAAAGGCAGACAGATTGGGAAAAGTACACTTTAACAGGGTTTTGATTGTAAAAGAATTCTTTCTAAAGTCAAAAGGCGTAGAAGGGTAGGGTTTGGGGGGGATTGTAAAATTCTGGAATATGTTATCAGGATTGGAAAAACTTCTGTTATACTTGCGTTATATTTTTCTGAGGCTGGTATTCAATTTGTGTGCAGCATTTGTTGGCTCCAGGTGCCTTTTTTTTAAGAGGTCATGAAATCCTAGTGCTTTTATCTCCCCTATAGTCAGACCTAACCCTGCCACCAATCTGCACACACAACTATTATTGCAGAATGACAGTAGTCTCAGGATATACATGTTGTAATGGTTGGTTTGTGACATCCAAAATGAAAATGAATGAAAATTTGAAAATGATGGTTATAAGCTGTGTAATGAGATTTCATGTGAGATACAAACATCAGGAATTCATGAATTATATATAAAAAAGTTTTTCATTAATCTACCCAGCCTCCACAAAAAATTTGGAAAAAGAAGTTAGAAAATAGGAAAGGGTGTATTATTGTCTGTCATACACACCTTAAGTGGTATGCAAATTGTCCACCTAAGCCAAGGCAAAAGATTGCCAATGAAGAGCAGAACTGTACCTATTATAACATGTCTCAAAGTTTTCCACAACACATAAGTGATTCTTAGTTGTTCTGTTTAGTCCCCACCTGAATTCATTCCCCTGTGTATGGTTTTGAAATCATTTCCACAGCAAATAATTGTCATTAACAAAGGATTATGGCTATAGGTAGAGAATAAATAGCAGGAGTAAATGATTCATTAAAATAAAGTTTGTCTTCAAGCAAACATCCCCTAAAAAGAAGAGGTCTAATATAAAAGTAGAAGTAATAGGAGTAGAATTGACTTTAAAAATCTTGACCATAGTACATAAAAATTGGTGTCTCAAGTTTAGGCTTTTCTGTCCATATTTAGATTCTTTATTAAGTTGCCTAATTTTGAGAGAGGCTGAGCACACAGCCACTCCCACAGATAAGCAATTTACTTGCATTAAATTAACTTTCTATATTAAAGTGAGATTACAACACTAATGCTGTTCAGACATTCAATCGTGCAAGTCCTCATAGTGGAGGACACTCGGAATCTCAAGGCTTGGATGTTAGCAGCAAGAAATATTTGAAGAGATGTGTCATAACTGGAAATATTACAGATTTAATAGAAAATAGCTACCAGAAATGGTTTGTGTTCAAATATACACACTGACGGGGAGGCATAAAAATATGGCCTAGAGGAGAATTCTCATAGCTCAGTTCAGCCACATGGCTGATTCAGTGAACCAATACTGTGATTTAGTGCACCAGCCAGGAAAGAAAGGTGATATATTTCACATGGAAGTTATTTGCCTGAATGAAAAATTCAGATGTTTGATATTGGCTCAGACTTACAAAGTTTGTGTGAGAACTTCAATTCTGTTTAGTACTATACCTGCATGATAACCTGTTGACTAGTGAGTACTTCTGCAATACACTTTTCAGCAATATGTTTGAGTAATCAAATGGGTCTGATCCAGTGATGTTGACACTACATGCAAACACAGGAAGCCTGTTTGAAAACATCCCAGTCACTTTCCTTCTTTAGTAGATATATGGAGGGGTGTTTGTTTATTTGTTTATTTAATTTATTTTGCTTTTTAGTACTCGAGAGAGCCTGGCTTCCAACACTTCAAGTATTGTTGAAAGTAATAGACGTCAGAACCCAGCCCTGAGTCCTGCACATGTTGGTGCAGGTCCAATGTTCAGCTTTCGAGCAACTGCAGATCCTCCAACAAGTGAAGCTGAAAAACTGCAGAAACCTGCTAACTGCCTACAAGCTTCTGTTACTAGTGTTTGATAGTCATTCTGCCTCTGTTCTTCTGTCTCATCCGATACAGCAAAGTTTACGACACTGGGACTGATGTTTACATCTTTGGAAATAACAAGCATCTCATCCACGGTTTTTGTGCTTGCTTTAAACTGTGCTGCTATGTAGTGAAAACAAAGAAATCTTAATTTCAAGGTATTGCTTTTCACATTTGCAGCTCTGTAGCAACAGACTAGCAGTAGGGATAATATGTACACCTTTGCTTCACTTAATTGTAACTGAGCACATATATGAAAGTCTAGACACTGTAAGTGTAATCTGCATTTTCAATGTCCATGCAGTTGCCAATTCCATTTAAAAATGCCACAGATGTGTGATGCCCCCGTGAGTGGTTAAACTTGGCCACAGAGTTGATCCTTTTATTTAAAAAATTGAGCCACCACTAAATATAAACAGCTAGGTCACCTTGAGGGAAAACAAAGCCAAACATGATTAGTAAAGACCTAGCTCTGCCTGTGAATTATTTATACATCAGTCATTTTCACTGTGAGTTTTTGACACACAATTTTGCAAGAATCTATAAAAAGCAAGTCAAAAGAGGTCATGTTTTAAGTCTGTTGGGTGGGAATTAAGGGGGAAATGCTGCATTTAATTTTTATTGTTTCAAAAGTATATGAGATGCTTGTCTTAAACTTACTATGTTAACCTTCCAGAATTGCAAACAGAGATGTAGGCCTTTTAATTCAGGTGAAAGAAGGGGATGTCTAACAGTGTTTGAGGCAAAGCAAATAGTTACAGAAAAGGTGGAGGGGTGGGTTTAATCAAATGTTTGAGGTGATGGTCTCATTAGTGTGGCACATCTGGTATTCCAACTTCCTGTTAATAGAATAATCAGACTATCAATGTGTTTGAGCAAAAGAGAAGTTGTGTGTGGTACAAATGCCAAATGTGGCCTGAAGAGTTGATTTCTTTCTAATGGAAGGACATAATTCTATTTTAGATAGCTTTTAAGTAGAATGCCTAAATTAGGCTGTTGAAAATAGCATGCATTGTAGTGGTTATCAAAGGAGAATTTTAGAGAATTATAAACTTCAGGCCTTTTAGTCAATGGATATAATTTACAATTCAACATTGTACGGACATAAATAGCTTTTAAAATTACACATGATTAGAAATGAAATGTGTTCAAGAAATCCTAATTCTGCAGGTGTGGCATATTTTATTTGTACTCCCTTAAATTGTTATTCCAAAGTAATTTATGCTAAATGATTACGCCAGAGTAACTTCTTACAGATAGGCTAACTCCGAGTAATTTTTAGGTATAAAGGACCATGTTCTGCTCTGTTACTCATGCACATGTATACAGCAGCAAGCTGTCTCCAAAAGGTCCCATAGTTGCTATTTTATCAGAACTGGAAGAAAAGCTAAAACATTAAGAAAGATGTTTAGCAACGTAAATATTTACCCTGTCTTTTGTTGGTACCCAAGTATTACACCCCTCAGCACATAATAAAAAAAATATTTTCTTCAGTTTCTGGTGACATGTATAACTTGTATAAACCATTTGAGCTTGACTCATGTTTTGTATTGTCATCAGAATGAATCTTTAGTAAAGATGCAGCTTTATATTACATAGTTGGATATAGCTTACATACAAATGAAAAGGCTTTATAACTCTGGACTTGATTGGCTTCTGATTCTGTGAGGTATAGCACACAGAACCTTTCTCTGTAATGCACACAACTAACTGTTTTCCTTATTTTTATGCATAAATTCCATTTCATCAGAGCAATAAGGCCTTTCAGTGCACATAAGGGAAATTACTGTATTGTGCTTCTTAGTTGGTTAAAATCACTTGGCCCTCTAGCCTCCTGCCTTATCATACCTTCCAAGCCATGCTATAATGACCTAATAATACATTGCCTGTCACATCTTATTGCTTAAATATATACCTTCAGGATTGCTTATTACATGCCGACTTCAGAGTCTTTTTTGTGAGGCGTCGTTGCATACAATACAGTGGCTGACTGTGATTTTTTGTTTCTGAGATATGCTCTGATGTTAGTAATATGTATCAATTCAGTAAATAAAAATGTTTGAACAATATCTTAACTTATAGCTGATTATCTGAAACTACAAATTGCAGTATTAAAATGTGAACAACAAAGACAAAGTTTACTTCTTTGGGGAAAACGTTTTTTATGTTATAAACTTATTAAAATTTATACAGGTACAGAAGACATCCTTTCAGAGAAATAACATAGTATCTATTTTAAAACTTTACAATATGTGATTTCCCATAAGCCAACAGACAACATAAAATGTCATATTAATGTTGACATGGCATACTACTGGTATTAATGTAACTCGGAATATGGAATGTAAACAGAAGTTTCAAATAGAAACATTCTGATCTTTGATTTTCAAAAAAATTCAACAAGGGACTATAAAGAAATTCCTAGTAACAAAACCATAGGAGTAAAGCATGTGTTACCTTAATCCTTCAATGAAATCATAGCCTTGTATTACTTGGTTGTTTATCTATCATTCTTCTTACTATTTAAAAGTTTACAGAATTACATTAGGTTGAATCTCTGTGTTGTGTCAACTTTAAAGGGTCAACACAAATCTGTTGGCATTTTGCACACTTTAATATGTATTATTATAATACAACATGTTACTTTTATGGTGATTTTTTTACATATATAACTACCTCCATGAATTTGATGAAATGCAGCAACATAAAGTGTATTATAAAAAGCAAGGTTAAAAAAAATTCTGAATCCTAAAGTTATGGTGTTCTCTTATGTGTCAGTGTTTGCATTACAAAATCATTATGTTTTCATTGCTATGATTTTCTTTTACTGTATTAAATTTGGCTTTCAGTTTAATAATTTGAGTTTTTGATAAGGCCACATAGTTTTGTTAATAGTAACCGGAAGTCTAATACCTTCTTTTATCTCGCCTTTACTGCTAAAGATTTTATCTAGTAGAAAATCATAATACTAATTGTAATTTAGCAGATTATTATTCCCACGGGGTATGAAATATGATGGGCAGTTTGGGGTATAACAAAAGACACACCAGGTATTATTTTTTTGCCAATCTTCAAACACTTTGTGCCCTATTCTGCCTTCACTTATACCAGCATATCAAATCAGACCTCTTAAGTGGCAGGAGTTGTGCACTATCCCACTGTCATTTAAATGATGTGCGCTTCATTTTCTAAATTCCATGCATCTTAGATACTTGCTTCCATTGAAAATAATGATAAAACTAATTGACTTTACTGAAATTAGTATCAGGGACCCTGAGTAAGATATATATTGAGATGTCCCTCCTGCAAAGAAGCTGGGCAGACTTCCAATAAATAAGGGATTAACTGTAGATTTATAAACAATTACAAGTTGCCTTTTAAAAAAAACTAGAAAAATTTCAAATACCAGGGAAAATAAGTGAAAGCTGCCCCTTAGCAGTTCTAATTTATGTACAAAACCTGCGTTAATCATGACTTTTTTTACATTACTCAGCTGTAAATTAGTCTGCAATCATTAGATGACTCAATTTTGCTTTGTAAGTATTTCCATTTTTAAAAAATAAGAGAATAGTACTCAGCAGAGCGGAGTAAAATGCTTGCATTGTAGAAAGCAATTCTCATCCCCATTCAAACAGTAAAATCTATTTGAAAACAAAGTTTTTAATTAAAAAAACTTGGTCTTCTTGCCGGTGGTGGTAGTTTATTTTTGGAAAAAATAGAAATCATGAACAATATTTGAAGCCCATCATAAACTATTATTATATTTTGCACTTACAGCTCATGCCTTTTACTTGAGAATCTCAAAGCACTTCACAAACTATTAATTCAGCCTCACAAGCCTGTGAGGTAGGCAAATTTCATTATCCCTATTTTACTCACTGACATATTGAAACATAGAAAAGTTGTGATATATCCAAGACCACTCAGAGTCAATGAAGTGCTAATCAAACTGTTTCTTTATTTCAGTTGAGTCATGATAATAGTTTTAATGTTTTAATATTTAACCAAAGTGCTTAATGTTTACATTAGAAAGAGATTCTTCTGAGGTGTTAAATTTATTAGAGTAGGAGAGAAACTAGTTTATAGTCCTGCAATGGTTTTGATATTGGAAGTGCCAAAAAACATTCACATTTCAGCAATAGGGCTGCTGCCAATAGTGGTGTCAGAAGTCAATTTTAACTAAAAACATGTTTTTCAAATACATTTTACAGGACTTTCCTGAAAGTGATACATCAAATTGCTATCCTGAGTAAATAGATAGTCTTAATCTAGTGTCACGCCATCATTTACAATCCTCTCTGCTCCTCTGAAGAAGACAGTATAGTATTAAAGAGAAATGCTGCAATTTTTTACATAATTCCTTTAAACATATATACTTAAATGTTACCCTTAATATATTAATGCGTCAGAATTTCCTGTTAATATACAGCATGCCCAGCTGGAATTGTTGAAGTGACACTGGTGTAAAAGAAGAAGAAGGGGGTTATCACTTTTTTTCTTTTGGTAGCAGCATTCCCAATTTTTTGCTTTACACAGGTTATATCTGGAATAACCCTACTGGTTTACACTGGGGTGACTGAGATTAGACTCAATCTTTAACTCCATTGGAGCTTTGTTCTGATCTAAGGATTTTTGTTTCTTTCTCTGGGTTGAATATGTAGGAGAGGCAGAAGGCCACTTACACCTGGATTTGAAAATGTGACTTTGGTTGAATAAACAGATGTTTCTCCTATATAAGAAATCTGTAGTGAAATGCACGGTGAGCAAGCCTCCTACCCCCCTGGTCTGGATACTAATGCACAACCATCTGTTTTGCACAATGGAAGGGCAAATCTCTGTTCAGTATATTGCACTCATCAAGCTGTACAGTCGATAAGAGCCACCCAAAGGATGCCCATGTGAAAGTATGAAAGGTCTGAACAGGGCTGTTAAAGTAATTGGCCCAGATGTTACTTTTAAACATAAAGGAGACTTAGTTTAAAGGGATCATACTTCTGCAGGTAACTTTCTGTGAGTGACTGAATGTGACTGTCGCATTAGGTTAAAATGAGTTAATAAATGCAAGTGGGACTTACTGTATGTTAGAAGGGAGTTTTGCAGCCAAGACTGCCTTGTATAAATGTGTTTGCACTGAAAATAAATTTTAAAAATTACTTGGTCTCTGGTTGCTGTAAAGGTCATCCAAGATGGATGTTCTGTTTATATTGTATAGTATTTCATATGAAATAATTACAGTTCATGAAATGTCTTCCCTAATGTTACTGATTTATAACAGCACATTTGTAACATGGTTTTTATTGTGTCAGTGTACCATATTGTAAATGATGATAACTTGTCATGCTTAGTATAATAATTTAAAGGAGAAAAGGACAGGGATTTTTGTAAGTCTATATATTTGAAAGTCCCTCCATATGGTAATATTGTGTACATGTTGTTTATGTAGTGTTGTGTGAAATATCCATTTTGGATTGTGTTACTTTTTAAGATATTAAATAACATTTGGTTATATGTTTTCAGTGATTTTTTGGGCTCCTTCAGGGAATGTGGAGGGCACGTGTCTTCTCAAGTTACATCCAGTGTTTCTTGCCCTCATTTAGTAAATGCAAAAAATAAAGGTAATTGCGGCTTAATATTTTTATGGATACTGAATGAAATTGCTATGATCATATCATAGAATCAGAAGACACCCCTGGGCATCATCAAGTCCAATATAGCAGAACCAAGCACCATCTAGACCAGCAGTGGGAAATAAAACTGCGGCGGTTTGCCAGGCTTAGCCCCTGGTGGGCTTGTGCTGCTATATTTATGTATGCCTCCGCAGGTACGGGTGATTGGAACTTCTGACCAATGGGAGCTGTGGAAAGCAGCGTGGACTGGGACATAGTTTCCTGCAGCTCCAATTGGCTGGGAACAGCAATCCGTAGCCAACAGGAACTGCAGTTGCTCGTACCTGAGGAGGCACAGGTGTATATATATTAGCACTGGCCTGCTAGGGGTGCTAACTCTGGCATACTGGATCGGGCCCATAGTACAGTATTTGCCCATCCCGATCTAGACCGTTCCTGACAGGTGTGTGTCTAACCGGCATTTAAATATCTTCAGTGATGGAAATCCACATCATTATTTCTAGTACTAGAGAAGCAATAGTGAAAACTAAACATAGGTATTGGAATTAAAACTCCCAATTTGAATTGGACAACTTCAGTGAGCACATTTATTATTGAATTTACAAAAATATAGTTCAGGTAGATCAGACTTCTATGAGATGGAAAATCCTTTAAAGCATTGCAATGTCAACTGGAAACAAATGTCTCTTTTCCTTTTTCTTTTCTTTGCTATCTGTGTAGTAGGGATGTTAGATACTGTGTAACTGAATAGTTGTGTAACCACATCAGATCTTAGCGGTTACACGACTGTTCGATAGTCCCTGGAGGAGGGGCCAGTAGCCAGTGCCGTCCCAGCCCCACTCCCACGCTGCTGCTTCTCCATCAGAATTGGTCTGTGAGGTGAACTGGACACACCTCCTGCCTGCCGCCCCGCACTGCTGCCTCTGATACATAGGCAACAGCGCAGGGGTGGAAGCAGCCCCTGTCCGTGGAGGGTCTGAGCTCCCCACGGACTGGGGCTGCTCTGTACTGGAGCAGCCTCTGTCCACGGGGAGCTTGGACGCCCCCATGAACGGGCTGTTTTGCAGCAGCTGCCCTAGCTCCCCGCGCTGCTGCCTCTTTCAGAAGCAGCAGTACAGAGGGGTTCAGGCAGCTCTGTGGAGCCAGTGCTGGGGGGGGAGCTGTTTTTTAAGCCAGCTCTGCCCAGCACTGGCTCCTGCCTCCTCCTCCCTTCCTCCTACAGCAGCAGCAGGGGAGGGATAGGCAGATCAATGGAGTTGGCATGCACAAAAGCCAACTCCCCACGTGTATCTCGTCCCCCTCACCCTCCACACTGCTGCTTCTCTATCAGAGGCAACAAACAGCACATGAGTTGGGGGAGCAGATGGATCTGGTGTTCGTGAGGAGCCTGCTTAACGCAGGAGCCCCACGGCCATGGCTCCCACCCCCCACCCACCCTCGCTGCCTCTGAGGGATCAAGGGGAGGAGGAATGCATGTAGGTGACAGGATTAACCAATGAGCCTAGGCTTATTGGTTAATCGTGTAGTCGTCTACACGTTTACAACCCTGCTAGGCTAGAACAGACAGTGGAGAGGAAAAAACACTAGCAAGTACCATCTAGAATCAGATGTATTGTTTGGTGAAGTGCAGATGACATTGTGAATATAAACAAACTTTACAAATCAGAAATGAGATGCACACAAACCATTTTCCTGCCCTCCCAGGGAAGTCAGGAGGAATGGTTATGAAGATATTCTGACCCCAGATGCTTTGGACTGGCTCTGGAGTATTGCCTTGACTACCAAACCTACCACCATTTTCCTGAATAAATATTCATATATGCCTCAAGGTTGGGTATAAAGTATTACGTGTTAATGTTTTGCATGTCATGTCAGAGTTTCTATTTGAAGTGGGTTCTGGCATCCAGTTCCTTGACTTGTCAGTTCTCTGTGATATGTGCAACTATAAATACTATGCATTCTTTTCTATAGACAAGAAAAACTTCATCCTTTCATCCATCCATCTGTTCCCTGTTGCTGTTTATAATCCCATCCCTAAGAATTTTTTTAGCCTAGGAAAACTGGTCACATTTCAGTTGGGGTTGGCTGACGAATTTTAATTAAACCCTCATCTACTGACCCTTTCTCCTTGTGTAAATACACCCTAAATTGAGCCAGTTTAGACAAATGCTTTAGGTGGCTTGTGGTAAAAACAGCCTCACTAAGCATGCCACCACTTACCAGTCCTACAGTCTAGTTCTGGTAACCCTATCACTGTTATGCAGCAGTAGCTTGGATAGGGTTTCTCAAAGACATCTCTTCTGATTTTTCTTTGGTTTTGTTTGCGTATTTTTGGAAGATATCACAGGATGGCTTTTCAGCTCTTAGTCTGTGGTTTCACCTGCCCATTGTCTAGGAGGAAACCTAGATACTGTTCCCAGGCCCTTTATGCACATACCCTAGAACCATATTTGGAAACCCATTTTTCCTGAAACCTATTCAGGCTGAAGGTTCAGAAATCTGGACACTTCATGCAAATATCTTTGTGTTCCAATTTCCATATGGGAATATGCTTTAGTTTACAGATATTATGGCCAGTGTCCCAGTTACCAGAACTGTCAACCTGACATGGGTGTGGCATGGAATGGGCTTTAGAAACAAAGGGATTGCTGTGCTCTGACATCTCCCTAGAGTGGTGTTGAGAGAACATGGGCAGCAGCTTGATGTTCTGCCACTGGCCTCTGCTTCTGCTGGAGTAGACAGAGGGGTGGAATTCAGTCGTCTTGCTAGCTGCTGGTTCTGGCTGCTGCTTGGCCTGAACTGAAAGGGCCATCTGACAACTTCCTGCCATTTGATGGAAGGCAGCTCCAGTTAGACAGAAGCTGGGTGCCTAGTTCTACCTGTTACTTACTTGGCTGCACCTGCCTGTGTGGAGGGGGACAGGGAGGTGTGGCAAGGGGGGAGATGAGGCAAGTGGAGTGTGGTGAGGATCAAGAGGACTATGGCCACTGATCCCTGGTTACTGCCCACCCATCTGGCCATGCATAGACAGCCCAATGTCACTTTAACAATAGGCCTGAGCCTATGGCCATGGGTAGGCTGATCAGAAATGTCAGGGGTCGGCAACATTTTCTCTGGCCCATCAGGGTAATCCACTGGGGGGCTGCGAGACATTTTGCTGACATTGCAGCTCCCAGTGGCCACAATTTGTCATTCCTGACCAATGGGAACCGTGGGGATTGTCAGCTGTCTTAGCCACTTCCCACAGCTCCCACTGGCCAGAAAGAGCAAACTGCAGCCATTGGGAGCTGCGGAGAGCCAGGCCTACAGACACGCAACAGCCGCCAAATGTCTTGCAGCCTGATGGCCACAAACCAAAGGTTACCGATCCCTAAACTATGTTCTCTTGCTCTTTAATTGGAGCCCTTCATTCCAGCCATAGGTTTCCCACCTGGAGTGGCTCTAAGCATGCAGCCTGGAACATCTCCCTAGCACTCCATATCAGGTAATATAAACTCAGAGAAAAGATTAATGTGGACAGCAACTAAAGGAGATTCTGGCTGGCATCTCATCAAGAGATTTTAACAGCTCTCTGTCTAAACATGGTTTTATTTAAGTTGCTTCAGAATCAACTTGGTCACAGTGGTTGGTTTCCACGCAATAACTTTTTAAAAATATACACAGTGTCCTTCCTTTTCTCCACGCATCCCCCTGTATCTAGTGTCTGTACCTTTTGTGTGTGTGTCTTGAGTTTTCCTGCAAACTGATTTTTCTCTAATGTATCTTTCGCTTTTTCCAGATTATCTCCTGATTCTGCTTCTTTTTTGCATCTTATTTTCCCCATCAGTATTTCTTACTACTACTCCTTCACTCTACATGTTCCCTATTTCCCCTTTTAAATTGAATTTCTTCCTTATTTTTTCCCCTTACCTCTCTCAAAATCTTATCCTCTTTGTACAAACTCTTCCTCTTTCTTCAGTCTCTTTCTCTTTTTCACTCCTTTCAGCTAATTTGAAATAGCCCAGTTGAAGAGAATAGCTCAATAGCTTCAGGAAAGGAGCTCCTGTCATATGCTTTGTGAAATGCTGCTCAGGATTTATGATTTCAAAAATGTGAAATACGCCCAGCCTTTCATCAGGACTGCCACTTATATATCCTCCTCCTCATTTCCCTCACTAGCCTTTAGTCCTGCAATGTGTTCTTCTACCAACCTTCTCGGTGTGTATTTATAGCTGAACGAAGATGACTAAAATCCCAGCCTGTGAAGAGCTTTGTGATGTGTTTAGACCAGATTGCTTTCCTCTGCACAATAGGGCAAGGTAAGTGGGTTTTGTGTTTTGTTTAAGTCCATTTGTGTTTCAAAAATTGCTATCTGGATGCTGGTTTCTTATCACATTTTCTGAACTAAGATATGTGGAGTTCACAATTCAGACTCCCTACTTGCTTGATGCAGCTGATAACATCAAGGTATAGAAAGTCTTGCAGCAATTCAAAGGTCCAGGAGTTTTGGTGGTCAGGACCTTCATGCTGATGTCCTGACAGAAAGGGATGGACTAAATGAAATAAGACACAACATAAAAACCCAGTCTGCTAAATCTGAAAAATACTTTTATAAATATCATTTTCATTAATAAATACTTAATAAATATCATTAATGTTGAGCAGTGTGATGTATTATTAATCTAGTCTTCTATAGGCAGATCTGTTCCAATATTATCTATGCTTCTATGTTATATAGAGCCCCAGGTGCTATATAGAACCCCATGCCTAGTGGATTTCAGAGGTGATGATTTAATCAAGCAATTTATGTTGCAGGATTCCTGTTCCCTTTATATGAAGTATAAAAAGGTTTTGCAGGAGAGTGTGGGAGCAATGCAGAGGGACCAACTTGTGCAACATGCCCATTTCCTGAATGGGTTGTTCCTCCATGAGCACATCACTCCTGAGCTCTGTCTACAGGTTCCCAGTCATAGACCTGGTCATGATCAAGACCCAGCAACATCAGTGACCATTTGTATTTCAGCTAGGCATGTGTGCTCCTTGGGGGGGGGGGGGACAGCAGTTTACAAAGCCTAGGGTGAAGTGTGTAAGATCCAAAATTGAAGCAGTCTCAGATTGATGGTGTTTATTGGTGGAAGTAACTTCCAGAGGAGCCCAGGCTAAGCCTGTGTCTGACCACCATCAGGACCATCTTATTTTCCCCATCAGTATTTTCTCTTACTACTTTCCATGCTCTTTGGCCAAGCATTCCCACTGAAATCAGCATCATGATGATGATGATGATGATGAGAGAAAATATTCCCCAAGTGCAGTCTCCTTTTTGAGCCATTCCCTCTTCTCTCGCCATCCAGAACATCTCGTCTTGTGGTGCCATCTAGCAAGAAGCAAAGAGACAAACGAATGAAAGCTGTCGTGACTGAGCTAGCAGCATTTCTGTCTCTTTTCAACATTGCACCAAGTGTGTCCTTACAGGGGTCAAGCCTCAGCTTGAACATCTCTGTGGGTGGAATTCTGCAGTTCACTCTATCTTGGGTCAGGACCCTTGAGTTACCGCCCCTGGAGTACTACCTCTGACTGCTTCAGAAGGTCCAATTAGAGTGCTGAGTCTGTTAGTTTCCCTTCAGCCAGCTAAGACAGCAGCTTATTAAAGTGATCCAGAAACAACTTCTTCAGAACAAAAGCATTATTTAGTCTTTCATCCAGAAGGTACAAAGCATGTAGGGCTGAGATGTAAAACAAAGAGTTCTACACACACACACACACACACACACACACACAGCCTCACAAACAATTCATCACACACACACACACACACACACACACACACCATCTCTCTAGCCATCTCTCAGGCAGGTCTATCTTATTCCCCATCCCTTAGGTGGTATAAATAGCCAGCACTGATTGCAGCATGCTCCTCTCGCGAAGTGAGTCTCCCCAGTCTGTCAGATTGGTCACAGAAGGAGTGGGCAGCCTTTCCCAGCTCATACAACCCTCTTCCCATTTCTAGGGTCTTGAAAGTGTTAGAATCTCCTTTGATCCCCACCTTAGTCTTGGGAACAAGTTTCCCATGGTAGCCTGGATAGAGCCAGCTAGGTAACTTCTCCCTACAATTGATGCCCCAATCCTTGTTATCTTAACGCCTTTGAAGCTCTGCATCTGAGAGGCTTATGTCATTGTTTTACCTTCTTGCTCAGAAGCTTCAGAGGGTAGCCGAGTTAGTCTGTACCGAATAAACTTAAAAAACAACAAATGGTCTGGTAGCACTTTAAAGACTAACAAAACATGTAGCTCAGTGGTCCCCAATGCAGTGCCATGGCGCCCACCGGGGCATTTGTGTGCCTGCTGAATCATCTGGGCTAGCCCCTGCCCCGAGTGCGTGGCACATGTGCGGTGGCGGCCCCGGGAGTGCAACGTGTGGGCAGTCCTTGCCCCAGGCGCATGGCACATGCGTGGTGCAGGGCGCGTGGGCGGCTCCTGCCCTGGGCATGCAGGACATGTGCAGTGCTGGTCCCGGGCGCGTGGCGTGTGGCCGGCCCTGCCCCCGCCCCTAGGCACGCAGCACATGCGTGGTCCCGCCCCCAGACACATGGCGCATGAGTGGCCCCGACCCCAGGTGCCTGGCAGCCCCGAAAGGTTGGGGACCTCTGATGTAGATGTTATCACGAGCTTTCTTGGGCACAGCCCACTTCTTCAGATGCCCAGAGTTTTGAGTTTAGGATATGCAGACCTAAAATAAATAGAGGAGAAGGGAGAGGGGGAGAGAAAAAATGGAAGGGGAAGGGAAACAAAGAGCAGAGGGTATGAAAATATCAAAGGGAAAACCAAAAAGGCAGAACTGGTAACCTATAAGCACCTAAATATTGGGTAGTTAAAGAAGCAGATAAGGATCAAAGGATAGCAATTAGAGAGGAAGGGTACTAACGCAAGAATCTACACAGACAAAGAGTCTGAATTGAATGTTAGGTTGATAATGTCCCAACCATCTGTTATCTCGATTGAGGAGGCCATGAGTGTGAGAAATGAATTTGTGGATGAATTGTAATTCCAACGCCTCTCTGTGTATTTGGCTTGTAGAATTGGTTTGTGACAAGACAGCCACTTGGATATCTTTTAAAGAGTGATTAGGTAGGTTGTTCTCCAACAGGTTTCTATATGTTCCCGTTACATATATCTGATTTCCCTATGGGAAAGAATCAATAGATACAAATCAGAAAAAAAACCTAGTTACAGCGCTGCTGTAGCTTACCCATCACCAGTGGGGCTGGATATGTTAGTTTTCAGTATTTCAGAGGGCTACCGTGCTGTGCTCAGGTCTTCCCTTTATCGCAGGCAAACATATGCTGGACCCTGATTTCTCTTACCCTTGCTCATTAGCAAATGAGGGCCTTTTGTTCAACAAGAGCTGCTTTTTCTTTGTCATTGTGTTGGGTTCTTCTCTCAGCAGCCCCTTTCCGAGGCAGGTTTCTCTCAGATTTCTGCCATGGCTCAGGGTTTAGCATCTGCCAATGGTGGGGGTGAGACTAATCACTTCCTTCCCTAGCTTTCTCCTCAGTGTCAGGTTTCCCTCAATTTTCTTTTGTCTTTTTCTGTAGCAGTCTCACAGCAGAGATCTGTACATCTCAGCCACCTACCACTTTCACTTTTAGCTGCTCTGTTAGTGGGTCTCCAATGTGGCAGCCCCATAGAGAATTCTCAAAGCCCCTAACATCCTCCTTGGTGTCAGTGCCTGTCAGCTTGCTAAGGCCCAAATGTAGGGCAGGATGTGGGCAGGAAAAACCCACAGAGGGGACACAAATTATTTATGCAAGAAACTTAAAATGTTGTGGGGTTCATTCCTTAAGAGTCAATCACACTCCATAAACTCCGTTTCATTATTCTTAATTTTCTTTAAATAAATGTAAGGGGGTATTACATTAGTGTGGTATGTAGGGAATCTTGGGACTAAATGAGTGATAGTCTAAAATCTGATTATATACGATGAGTGTGCTAGTGTCCTTTAGTGCCTGCCAGGTGCCTGCTGACTTACTCTTGGAGATAAATGGCTGCCCAGCCTCATGCTCTGGCTCCCTTCTCCACTGACAGCATATTGGCCTGCGAGACTCAGCTAAATCTAGTTTCTAAGCACCTGGCTCCTTCCGCACCTTCTGGGTCCTATTAGCCAGCTTGGCCCCAGTAAGGCCAAAAATGAAGGAGCTGTTCAAAATGCCTGGGATCATTAATTGGTAGGGGACACACACACGTGCGCACATGCATGCATATTCACAATATGGAAATGCTGGAATTAAGTTTAGCTAAGCAACTCCTGTATGGATATATGTAACAAGACTTTCTTTACATGTATGCAGCGCTTGCTGTTGATGTGTCTGTCCCCAGATGGTAATATCTTTTATTGCACCAACTTCACGGTTAATGAGAGACAAACTTTCGAACTTACACAGAGTTCTTCTTCAAGTCTGAGAAAGTTGGTTCATTAACAAAATATTACCTCACCTATGTCTCTCTAATTACATGATCACACTATTTTTCCATAGAGCCCATACTTTGTTCAGCATACAGAATAGACAGTGTTCACCTAACGAGCAGCCATTCAACACTGTATTTCCTACTTGTTGTTCAGTTTGTGCTCTGGCACTTTATACACTACATGCTACTTAAATTCTGTTCTGAAGCTAGAATTATTAATTTCCTCAAACTTTTCTATAGCGCCCATTACTATATTGTATGAATATTTCACAAACATCAAGTTGTTTTCACAACTTGCTGTGATGCAAAAGGGCAGGATTATCCCCATTTTACAGATGGGGAATGGAGGCACAGAGGAATTAAGGGCTAATTCTGACTATCTAATTTGAGGTAACAAGGACCTATTTTTAAAGTATTTAGCAATATATCTGTTTAAAGAATAGTTTCTTTTAGCTTGAATTACCATTATGTGTGCTTCTGCCAATCATAGCAGAGGGTCACGAGTCAGGTACCTAGAAAATTAGGACCACACAATTAGTGATTACTGTAAAACAGTTAATTTCAGTGACATGCCCTTACACTCTAGCAGCAGCAGGGATAGACTCCGCTTCTCCAAGATGGTATTCAGATACCTTAAACCATGAGATCACCCTTTCCAGCAATCCTCTGCTACATTCGCTGCACACCTTGTAGCGTCTGGAACAAATAAGGCAGTGGCCCTACAGACAACAGCCTGCTTTATTACACAACCCTTATTCATCTCCTGAGCAAGTTCATCCTGAATGAGACAGGGGTTCGGTGGGGAAAAAAAGATTTGTAATCATGTCAATGAATTAAGGTTGGGTGGGAGATTTTAATTCTGCCATTCCCTAATGTTTTGAGAATTTCCTCAAGCTTGACTTTGTGTCCTTAATAATCTCTTAGGGTACATCTACACAGCAACATTATTTCAAAATACAGTAGACTTCCAATAATCCAGCACCTTTGGGACCTAGGTGGTGCCAGATTATCGGATATGCCGGAGTATCGGGAGGTACTCCAGTGGAGGGCTGTGATGGGTCTGTCGGGATCTGCACTGCGTCCAGAGGGTGGGCAGGGAATGGTGCTGCAAGGGGCAAACCCTCCGCCATTTTGCAGGAAGGCGGGGGAAGCCCTGCGCAGCCGCCGGCAACAGGCCAGCTGGGGAAACCCAGCCACCAGCCTGCAAGCGACAGCAGAGAAGAGGGTGCGAGAGCTAAGTCCCCGAACTTGCCCCATTCCGGCTGCACTCAGCCCCGTGCCACTGCCGAGAGTTTCCGGGAAGGGACCAACCCGGCAGCACCCCAGCTGCTCCGCTCTGCCGCTTCCCCAAGCCCGCCACTCATCAGTTTCAGCAGCAGCAGCGGAGGACTTGGGGAAGTGGCAGAGCAGAGAAGCTCGCGTGCTGCCGGGTTAGACCCGCAGCACCGCCCCTCTACCCCCCTGCTTGGCAAGAACTACTGTAGTCTGGACCACTGGATGCCAGACAATTGGAGTTTTTTACTGTAACTAGCGTTATTTCGAAATAACTTAGTCCGCGTTCACACAGCAGACAGTTATTTCAAAATACTGTCAAGCTGGAGGACTTCTTACTCTGACTGCTGTAACCCTCCTTGTACGAGGAGAAAGAGAAGTCAGAGGAAGAAGTGCTCTATTTCAAAATAAGTGCTGGGTAGATGCTCCCAATTTCGAAATAAGCTTTTTCAAAATAAGCTACGGAATTGACGTATTTTGAGTTAAGCCCTGCTGTGTAGATGCACCCATAATCTAGTTTTTTTCAATGTAATCTCCTAATTACAATCATGTGCTAGACCCTGGTTGAAAAAAGGATATTTAAAGGATATGTAATTAAATTGCAAAAAAGAATATTTCCATATAGATTCTTGATATGGGCCATCAGTATGGTTGGGATCTTCAGCTCCATAGCGCTCTCCTGTTCCAATTGAGTTAGGAATCTTATGTGAGTAACTCCAAGATCTTATAATCTACTGTTGTATGGATCAGACACTAACAGGAAATGGAGAAACAGTCTTTGCCAGTGGGTTTCAAAGCTGCTTGCCACACAGCAAAAGTATGTGCTGTGTGCTACATTGTCCTGCATTTTGCTTCAGCAAAAGTATGGTGAGACAGTGTCTCAGGCCATGTCTTCACTAGGGGGAAGATCAACACTGTTGCAATCAATCTTCTGGAGTTTGATTTAGCAGGTCTAGTAAAGTCCTGCTAAAGCAAACACAAAGAGCACTCCCATTGTCTGCCAGTATTCCTGCTCCTGCAAGGAGTAACGGAAACCAACCAAGCGCATTTGCTCTTGTCGGTCTCAAGCTGTGGGGACAGCGGAGAAACTCAAATTAAGGTATGTCAACTCCAGCTACATAATTAACGTTCCCCTTTAGTGTAGGCCTAGCCTCAGGAGTAGTGGGTTTAATTGCAGCTTTTGGAGGGGAGTGTTCTCTAGAGCAAGGGCTCTCAAACTTCACTGCACTGCAACCCACTTCTGATGACTGAATTTACTGCCTGACCCCAGGAGGGGAGAGGGGACTGAAGTCTGAGCCTACCTGATTCCCACTGCCTCGGGCAGGGAAGGGGTCAAAGCCAAAGACCAAGGGCTTCAGCCCCAGCCAGGGGGCCTGTAACCAGTTACCTGCTACCCAGGGCTGTCCCCCTCTGGTTTCAGCTTTAGTCCTGAGCCCCAGAAAATCTAAGCCAGTCCTGGCAACCCCATTAAAACACTATGATCCACTTTGGGGCCCCAATCCACAGTCTGAAAACCACTACTCCAGTTTCATGTTTCCTTCTGCTCTCATACCTCCTCCCAAGTGCCTGCTTGTCCCCACTCTGTCTGGCTACTGCATCCTGTCCCTCACTCTGCTCCTACTTCGGTCCCAGCTCCTTCCCCAGTATTTCCTGCTCCTACATTTCCCAAAGCTCTCCCCTTCCTCTTGTTTTTACTCCTCTCTGCCTTCTGACCCCTTCTGTTCTTAACTCCAGGTTCCTACCACCCTCCCTCCAAAGCTTCTCTCCTGCATTCCTTCTCTGGCCCCTGTTCCTCACCCTTGTGCTCTCTAGTCAGGGAGCTGCCTGCCTCCTCCTTCACACTGCCTGGGTTACAGAGCATGGGGAAGAGAATCTGTCCTGCTTTTAATTTCTGTGCTCAGTACAGGAGCAGCAGTTACAAGAAAGTCCTGCTAAGCCCCTGCAACCCAAGGCTGAAGCATGCTAAAGGTAAGACATAATCTTCTACAAATTCAAATGCCAAATTCCAACAAGCATGTGCACATTTTCAAGTGTTCTTACCTTTGATATTCATAGGCATGGCAAAAAAATATCCCTGAGGAGACCCTTCCTGTCCCGTCCCCTCCCCTCTCCCACAGCCAATTTCAAGTTCCTACTCCAACTTAGGGAGATGCCAGAGTTTCTTATCAAAACATCTGAAAGATTTTTTTAAAATTGGCAAAACAATGTAATTCTCTCTAATACTTTCAGAAAGGGCGGAACCGTTTCTGCTGGAATTTCACCTAAAAAATTCATCCTCAAGCAGATAACTGGCATGGAACATTTCAGCCCAAATAATTTGTTTGCTAAACGTATAAGCGACTGAAAATACAGTCTTATTATGGCAAGTATTAGGTAACTTTAACACAGCTCCACCTCTGCAGCCCAAGATACAAACTGAACACATTTTGATTATATTCCTCCCCCTAACCTCCATATATTGCTTGTTCTTAGATAGTAGTCGAGAGAGAGAGAGAGACAGTCAGTCTTGACCTCAGTCTCTGGGCATTAACCTAATGCTAATAAGAATAACATTTATACTGATTAAATTCACATCACTCTCACAAAGGCAAATTAATCAGGTTTTTTCCAAGGGAAGTGTGGAGTGAGGCTACATCACTTGAAACTGGCATCCTGTCTGTAGCCCAGCTTCATCCCCTATCCCACAGACATTTTCTCTTCCTTGTCACCTGTACATATTGGTGGAATCACAAGAGTGCAGCTGGATTCTGTTCTCTCTCCTATGTGTTCTACAGCAGCTCTGTGCCACAGTTGTCCTCTTAGCAGCTCTCTTCACACAACTGACAGGCAGAATTTAACTAGGGAAGTGGGTCTTGTAGGCTGTACATCCACTATGTTTTGTAAGACCCTTCCTCCAACACATAGCATTTGCTTTCCTTCTCTTGTTTCTTTATCTTTAAATAACTAGTGTCTTTCAATTGCTTGTGTCCCTTTAAATTAAGCTCTGGGGGACTCGGATTTATTATTCCTTTGTAATGAAGAAACCTGAGAACCCTCAGATCTAATGTAACTTATGTGCCATCTCTTCTGCTATTATTTTACTATTACCAATTACCTGGCATATAGGAAAAAAATGTTCTCATACATCAATGATATATAGCAGATAGCAACTGCACCAAATCAGAAAGTGTTCAAAAATGCCCTTTAAAAAAATACTCTTTCTGTGGTAGAAGTAAGCGCCAACAAAAAAGATGAATCATTATAGAATGATAAATAGTTCCAAAGTCTCCCTGGTATTTAGAGTGTTCTCCTGTACTGAAATGCACTTTCATTGAACCAGAAATTGTAATAAAAGAGTATTAGGTAAAACTGCTTAGACCCTTCCTGAATTTTAGAAATAAGGGATGGCCTGATTTAGCAGGGATAGGTTAACAATTCACATACCCCATGTGTACAAAGCAGCAATAAAATCAGATCCTTTTTGGTCACTGACCTCTGATGAACTGCTGCAACATGAAGGTAGGACTTTTATTTATTTAAAAGCTTGCAACTTTTTTTTAAAGTTGACGAAATAAGCCTCAAACGTGCTGTACATAAATATATCTTTGCATTTATTTTAAAGTATGTTTGTCCTCCTAAAAATGAAGTATTTGTTTTCTGGGAATGCCATTGAGATCAGACTGATAGTTACAGGTACCAACTAAGCAGCAGAGTAAACCCAAGACTTAGTGGAGCTCTTCAGTTTATTACTTCAGAATGTCAGGCTGATTATTACTCAGACTGTTGAGATGACGTTCATAAAGAGAAACAAAAATTACCATCTACTCTTTACTTTTTAAGAAATGATGATCCTATTTGGTTTTGGTTACCCCGATCTGGAATGATTTGTCATTTTGATCACTGTAGTCTGGAACTAGTCCCAATTTGCAAATACAATGAAAAACATGGAGCTCTCAGCATTCTTCCCCTTCGTGTGAGCAGACTCCTGAAACAAATACAAGAGAAAATTGTTCCTTCTAACCCCTTTTTCCATGCAGTCACATGGGGTTTGTGTTCATCAAGCTTTTGGAAGCCCTGAGGACTCTTATTTCATTCAGAAATGAAAACTTTCTAAACTCCTACAGTGCATGTAAAAACATGCCATTTGTTCCCTTTTAAAATCTGCACCATATTAGTTTAGTATCCAGAAAACATCTCTTCTCTTCTGCAACAGAAGGTATGTGATGAATCCCAGATGTCTGCACATGACAGCAATCCCCAGACATAATAGATTACATCAGGGAGACAAATGATAAGAAAGCAAGCTCTTCCTCTCTCCCCCTTCTCCTTAAGGGTATAGCAGGTTTTGAGATTGAGTTTATTTACTGAATTGATAGATGAAACCTTTGCTTCACATTTTAGTGACTGTCACAACCATCAATGTTAGAAGCCAGCAGCAATTGGGGAAGGTTTTGGCTTTCACAGGGAGCTCAGGATCTTGTGAGTTTCCTGGTGGGACTTGTACACAAGATTTACAGAAATGCTTTTTCCTCTTCAGATATTTACTGTCAGCCCCAATCTGATCTTTTATGACCTCATCTGCAATATATGGGAGGGCAAGGAAAGGGCAGTTAGAAATGCTCAGTGTCAGAAGTGTTGCTCCAATATTCTAGGAAGAGAAAGATGTTTCCTCTGATAAATACACATGGGCTACGTCTACACTGGCATGATTTTCCGAAAATGCTTTTAACGGAAAACTTTTCCGTTAAAAGCATTTTCGGAAAATCATGCCAGTGTAGACGGGATGCTTTTCCGCAAAAGCTCTTTTTGCGGAAAAGCGTCTGTGGCCAATCTAGACGCAGTTTTCTGCAAAAAAGCCCCGATCGCCATTTTCGCGATCAGGGCTTTTTTGCGGAAAACAGTACTGTGCTGTTTACACTGGCCCTTTTGCGCAAAAGTCTTTCGGAAAAAGACTTTTGCCCGAACGGGAGCAGCATATTATTTCCGGAAAAGCACTGACGATCTTACATGAGATCGTCAGTGCTTTTCTGGAAATTCAAGCGGCCAGTCTAGACACAGCCCTGGAGTCTAGAATACTAAAACAGACAAGGTGGATGTCACAAGCCCATCACTGCAACCCTCATTCACTGAATGCAGTCCAACTGTTCCTACAAAGGGAGGCTACCTCTATCAGTAAAGAATTGTAGGGGCCTCCCCATCCCCCAAAGAAAGATTTGTGGATTCTGGAAGAAATACTGTAGTATCAATATTTAGAAAGTCCAAAAGAGTTTGTATTTTCAGATGGTCTACAAATATTAACTGGTGCTTTTGCCAATGTTAGCCTGCAAGGTCTTATTTTAAAAAAAATAAGGCAAAATAGGGGAGAATTTGTATTTCAAATAGTTAATAGCAATGCAAATGAATAAGGAGCTCATCCAACAAATCTTACTAGTATGAATAGTTCCCTTATCTTCGACAGCCAGACTTTTGTGAATAAGAATTGCTAGCCGGACTTAATAAGGATTTGCAGGAGCAGGCCCCAACCCCTTGTGATAGGTAAGTCTTGGTAGAAGCATGTTAGGGTACGTCTAAACTACATCCCTCTTTCGAAAGAGGGATGTAAATTAGACATATTGAAATTGCAAATGAAGTTGGGATTTGAATTTCCCATGCTTCATTTGCATAATCATGTCATGGCATTTTTTTGAAAAACGCTATTTTTAAAGTGAAACTGCGGTCTAGACGCAGTTCTTTCGAAAAGAAAAGCCTTTTTCAAAAGATCCTGTACTCTTCAAAAAATGAGGTTTACAGAATCTTTCGAAAAAGGCTTTGCTTTTCAAAAGAACCATATCTAGATCATAGTTTCACTTTCGAAATAGCGTTTAAAAAAAAAAAGCTGTGAACCGATTATGCAAATGAAGTGTGGGAAATTCAAATGCAATTGATGTAGCTCAATTTGCGTAGCTTATTTCGAGTTAAGCTCTGCTGTGTAGAAGCACCCCAAGTGGTTGCCTGGTTACCATTTCTGTATCATTAAGCAAAGAAGTCTGCTGCTCAGACTTAATCACCTGACTCTATAAAAGGGGTGCAATTTAGCACACACCCCACTGATTGGCATCACCAATTGATTAACTTAGGCATCTTTCTGCCTCGCATGTTGGCTATTGTGGCTCACATTCTAGGGTGCCTCTTCCTATTCATTGTACAGGGAATCAAAGTACCTAACTCAGTCAGCTTTGTAGATTGCAGTGTTGTTCCTATGATTTTCTAGACCCATAAAAGCTAGGCACCATGAGGCTCAATTAAGGGCACGTCTACACAGCAGGGCAAAAGTCGAATTAAGGGCAGGAACCTTCTCTCACTAAATGTTTGTATGGCTTTGATTGTGGTTGGAGCCCATAGGCACTACTGAAACAGGAATAAAACAATCTATTTTCATTAACTGGGTACTTCATTTGCTCCACATAGTTTGTGCAGTTTAAATGGGAAAGTGTGATATGAATGTCAAATTTGCATGAGATTCAAGCTTACACATTGCCTAAAAGTTCATGAAACTGTCCCATAAAAGTGAACCTTTTGTGTCTCTTGACAAATTTTTTCCACTGCTGGTATAAAAACCTTCTTGGGAACTCCTGCCAGCAATAACAGCCTACTGTTCCCTTTCCAAATTCATCTGAAAGACGATGAGTGAGATCATTACTGCATTGAAGTAAATGACAAAACTCCCACTGACTTCACTGGGGCCAGCAGTTCATCTTATATTTTCTTACTTGCCTGTACTAGTTTTCTTAATCTCGCTCTGAATTTTGATTTTCTTTGCACTTTATAAATAGATTATTTAAATCACTACAGGGTTTTAGGATACGTTTTTTCATACAAAAGTTGCTATGCAAATGAAGGGTGCAGTTCTGCAAACATGATGTTTATGCTATTTCATTCCCGTAAGTAATGCCATTGAGGTCAGCAAGTCTACTGAGTAAAGTAAACCTGTCTGTTTGCAGTTCTATGCC